ATTGTTTCGCGCGGGTTGTCACTAACAATTAAAAAGAGATCAGACGATTGTGTAAGGAACGAGCCTCTTGAGACAAAGTCCCAAAAATGGATGTTTTATTGGTGATGACTTTACAATTGGAACTTTAAACAAAATGCCTCCAAGGGGTGCAAACACTCTGTTTGAGAGTGCTTGATTCCAGGGTCTTTTGCTCTATGTCTTTTCTTCCTTTTATATGGTATTACCGCGTTCGTGGGCTTCTACTGCATTTATTAATAACCCTATTTGGGCCTTTATCCTGAATTACCTAGTTGGACTTCATTCTTTGGGCTATTCGAATTGGTCTACACTTTTAGCATGTCAACAATATCGATGTTTGCATTGCTTGTCAAGCCGTACTAATTTCAAAGGGTATGCATAAAATGCCTAAATATGGGTGGGTACATTCTAAACTCCTGAAAGCATGTCTGCAGGTAAACGTGCATATTTTGTATATGACCGCTTTGTGACGTAGAAAATAGATACCGATGGCCCTTATTCGATGAGAGATAGTCACGCTCAATGCGTTCGACGATTCGACAGTGTTCCAGCCATGCCACTACATCGTCCTCCATCTGTTGCATGACATTGTCGTCCGAACCTTTGCCCGAACCAGGCATAGACACAAGATTGAAGTTCGTTTCAGACAATGCACTTTCTGCAGACTCGTCTGTCATCTACATTAACGAAAGACCGTACACTCTGCCCATCAAAACGTGAGAAAGAGAAAATTTGTAATGGAATTGAAAGCAATATTACAACTGGTTTGGATTTCTTAGCTTACCTTTACAAATTGAATATCATTCTTCCCTTTGTCCGCTCGCAATCATAATTACTTTGCGCACATTTCGAAGGCCTTTTATAGACGTAGAAATTACGAAATGGCAGTTGGCATCCAACCCACTATGTACTAATGTAGTATTACTTTGCTATTGAAAGTGGTTGTCAATTAATTGTGATGAATATATTCCCTGTATGGGTAAGGGAATAAATTCCACCCACAGAGTACTTTTACCTTCATTCACATTTATGACAAACACGTGAATGGAAGTGGTATACAACAACAAGAGGAAAACATGAAAAATTGAAATATAAAAGTCCAATGACCGTAGACGCTCTCATCAAACAACGGAAAGAGGGAAAAAAATGAAGTTCAGCGACACATAAAAACTACCGACAAAATGAACAACATAAACACATGGACACCACTACATGGAATTACAATTTGCGCTGAGCCCTAGGCGGCTTTGCTTGGTTTGATTCTATTTTGCATTTTAAGCAGTACCCAATCCAGGCAAACCTGAGTTCCGACGTCTCAACGGCACTTTATGCAATACGATTGTTCTTGTCGTGAAAAAATCACAGAGCAAACAAATAAAGCTCGTCACCACTCTGGATGAGGCCCATTGAGAGCAAATTGTTGATGCACTCCAGAATTGACATTACACCCTTGTCTCTAGATCGAAGGATAGAGGCGAATTCTCATGATGTAGAAGCCAAGTTATCAATAGATTCGTAAACCTCCCTCGCTTCGAACTTCTTCTTCTTTCCCTTTCCCGAATCCTGCTTACCTTTACGCTTCTTTCTACTTCGGCCAACGAAAATACTCATGGACAAGTTCAATTTGCCCTTCGCAGCCCCATCATTGGAGTCCGTTGTCTCTACGTTGATCGACTGCGTGTCATTTCAATATTTCGCGTCGCTGTCCGAGCTCAAATTAAGGTCGCAGTACGAAAGTTTCATCGGCATCAAAGCATACTTCGTCGAGTTCTAACTGGCACCAAAGAGTTTGATGTAACTGTGGTAGATTTCTCTGTTGTCATTGTCTTTGAACTGCCGTACTTTTGGTTTTCCTGCAAGAAAAAGTACGAACAATTGCATGTTACAAGATGACTAATGAAGACGTTGAGATAATTGTAGATGGTCATTGCCAACCTAATGTTCTGAATACAGAAAGAAAATCGATGACAGAAATGTAGACACCAATAAGCAATCGCTCAAAGGGTTTTGTTCCGGATTCAAAAATGCAAACCATTCATTTCAAACTATAACAAAAAATAGTCGCTCAAACACACAGTACACAAGCACAGAATCTACCAATCGAAAAAAAAACACTAGAAAAGAACAAAATTTTAGTCCACTTTTGGCTGGTGATGTTTCGAGCTAGTAGTACATTGTGTGGACTCCAAACAAATAAAACAGAATCACCCCTGAAACATTTTCATCAACAACATAAATAATCAAAAACCAATGTTTGTAACTGCAATATAGAATGCGCAGCCATATGTTGATGTAAATTCTTCCCCCCAGGCAGATAGTGCAGAATCTGTGACAATTCCTGTCCCTCTACTCGTTCCACTTTCTCCATTTCTAGCTTCTATACTATTCGGTTAATTATTGGTCTTTTGTGTTTTGTGAAAGGACAGAGGTATGCACTAACAATTGTGAGAATGACGATCTCATGTGGAAAATTTGACAAGGAAAATTCTAACCGATAAACCAGGTTACCATCAATTTTTTCTCCCACCACCAATCCAGCGCTTCAATTCTATTCCTGTTGTTTTGTCCATATTGAGTCTTGATATATAGAAGCAACTTGAACAAAAGCTTGTGGTCTGTTCGCATAACTACCCAGTGGTTCTTTAGCTAAGTGGTTGTCCAATCCTTCCCGACCTGTTTGTTGAATAGTTCACAGATGCACTCCCAGCCTGTAGTCGTGAAACATTTACCACGACGATGTCCCTCAGCAGTTGCACGCTCTGCCGCAGGGATAAAAATGCGATTTTCTCGGGGCTTCCACCTTGTCCACTTTCGAGTGTCTTTCTTTGCGGAGGGACGGAAAGGTGATGCTAGGGATGTCAACGAGTCGAGTCGAGCCGGCTCGCGAGCCAAAACTTGAGGCTCGAGCTCGGCTCGGTTAAAATTGTCTAGCTTTTTTCCTGGCCCGAGTCGGGCCGAGCAAAAGCTCACCCAAAAATTTTAGGCTCGACCCGAGCTTTCGGCTCGGGCCTTTCTGAGCTGAGCCGGGGCCGATCCGTTTTCTCTCTTTTTTTTTTTTAATTTAAGCTGCTGCCTTAAAAAGGCAGCAGTTGGTTGCCTTTAAAAGGTAGCAAACCTGCTGCCTTTTTTAAGGTAGTGTTTGCTGCCTTTCAAGGCAGCATTTTACTGCCATAAATTTTTTTTTAAATAAAGTCTCATAGGCTGACAGGTCGGCTCAGGCAAAGCCCGTGTCCCAAAAATGGGGCTCGGTAGGCTCGGGCTTTTAGAGCTGACGAGCCCGATTGACATCCCTAGATGATTCTACGGGTACGGATCACTCTCTCGAGTCATAGCTCTAAAATAAAGCAAGACATTGGTCAGGGAACATTAGTGAGAAGTAGACAACGGTGAAAAGCACCACCATCTCAGCATTATCATGGTAAAATTTTGGAAGACCAGCTCAAAAAATCAACTACAAATTTCTTTAGAGTTGGCGGAAGCTTACCATGGTCCCTGGGTAGTAGCCCCAGTGAGAACCGTCGTTATCCAATGTTGTGGTTGCCTGATTTTTGGGTAGAGGAGATGGTTCACGTTCTCGACCGTCTGGTCGAAATCGATATGCGTAGGTTGGAGATCCTATTGTCGTCGACTTTGCTGAGATGGCATACGGCAGAGGAGTGTGCGTCATGTGCCTCGATTAGGAGTGTGCGTCTTCGATTTTGCCGAATTGTGCAAGGATTTTCATTTTGCGTTGTCGGGGACAATAGAAAAGAGATGTGGGGTTCGAAAGTCTTCAATTGAAAGTGTGGATAAGTGCAATTATGTGAGGGATTTTTTGGTCATTTTTCGTAGCTATTGGAGGGTGTTTTTGTCTATTAAACACAACAGTCCATTAATTAACGGGGTAGGCATTGCAAAGCCTTCAGAAAGGTTTCAAATATGGAGCAGGCCTTGGGCAATAGAGGTGGGTTGAAAAAAATAAAGCGTTTTAAGGGGCCAAATGAACGCTTAAAGAGTAAACTATCTATTAAAAATGTTTTTGCAAGAGAATGACTTAAAATCGTAAATGTAAAAAATTTGAAGTCCTTAATGAATTTTAATAAGCAAACTCGTGCGCTTTTATAAAAAATTAAGGATGTAAAAATAGGCAAATCAATAATAAAAAGATTGTGGGTATATGTAAGAAGGCCATATTATCCTTTCTCTTGTCAAATGAAATAGTGAAGTATGAATAAGAGCAAAATGAAAATAGAAGAAAAACTGAAAAGAAAGATGGTGATGATAGAGAATTGTGACGTTTGTCCAATATGGCTCAGCTTTGATTTTGTCATTTTTACACCCGCTCAATTCTAGTGATGGCAACGGGGCGGGTTCGGGCGGGGACCCCACGCTTTTTTTTAATAATTTCGAGTTCAATAAAATACGGATAACATTCAAGCTGACAAAGTTAATATCCAAAATAAATACTACAAATCTTAAATATATTGGTCGCTATTGGTACACAACATTGATTATTAGGATGAACGAGGTTTTTTGTATTTTTTCCTTTGATATTGTCATAAAAGTTGTAACCTCACACACTTTAATTTATTACAATATATAGATTTTCAAATTTGTTCAGTTGAACATGTTATATCTTTTTATATTTGTTTTTATCAATATAATATCAATTTGACAAAGTAGCGTAATGGTATATATAAATTAGTCAAGTTTGATAAAACTCGTACAATTGAGGATACTAGAAAATAGGTTATCCTTCTATTTGAAGCAAGTTGAACCCTAACTTTTAAAATAAAAAAAATTCACGGGGCTGGTTTGGGGCAGATTTTTTTGCCCCATTCGGGGGGGAGGGGGAGGGGCACCGGGATGGGACGGGGTAAATTATCATCACTACTCAATTCCCTGAATGACCTCTCCCCCGTAGTCGCAATGTCTTCTCTCTTCGAAGCGAAGAGCCGACAGGTGCAGAGGAACTTCGTCTCCCTCACTGTAGACAAGTACACAGTACACAAATATTTACCAATTCGATGAAAGTGTGAAAAATTGTTGTAGAAAGGAAGGAATTGGTTAAAAACGATGACTCGATCTTCTTCTGGAGCAAGAATCAATATCGGAGCGAGTACCAAAAAACTCAAAGTCGATAATCGAATCTTGCTCCGATTTTACTACCGAATTGTCGATAATATTCTCAAGCAGGTACTTTCAATTCACATGATCAATGTTTGTTCGTAAGTTATTTGTACAAACACAGAATATTTTTTTTTTATTTCTCACGGATGATAGTTTTTATTGTTCATTAATGTATCTTTTATAAAAATTACAATGTCGTTTTCGTATGGCCCAGGAAATTGAAACTGTTCCTTGTTGCTTTTTGTAATGTAGTATCTGTCTGTAATAAGTTAGGGCTTTCTCGTTGAATGGATTTCATGATTGGAACATCGACAATATATATAATTTTTAATTACTTAATATAATGATGAAGCTCTTGTGCACAGGTGGCTGTTGTTCTGTTCAATTTTCTTGAAATAAGCGAGAAAGTGTGTGAGAAATCTTGTCGGATTTTTTACACGTTTTCTGGTAGTATTCTTTATGTAAGCATGTGTTAAGATACCAACTATAGGAAAATATGGATAAGCAACAACAATGAAAAATAACAATTTATTGATGGAATTCTGAGGAATTACAGTAATGCAAGATAACAATTATAGCCTTTCGAGAGGCTATTCTCTCCTGACTTAACTACCAATATTTGCCTACCTTCCCTATTAATTTTCCCTTCTATATATAGGCAAACCTGACTGTAGCATTTTACATTTTTATCCCTCATTCTAACTGACTGGTAAACATTCTGGAATTGGGCTCATTTAATTGGGGCCTATCATTACCCGCCGCCCCAAAAACTACCTTGTCCTAAAGGTTGAAGCGTGGTTCAACTTCAAAATTCGGGTTTCCATTTAGCTAAACCGTTTTTGCAGTAAGCTTGTTGTGGCTGTTAGCCCGTGTAGTCAACAGCCCACCTATCATTAAAATTCGATCCATAAAAACCCCATAGCCGGTCGTACCCGTTCGTAAGTGTTCAAAAAGTTGAACCCACCAAATCTAAATAAAATGTTGCATAGTAACACGACCAATCAACTCAGTCACCCCTTCTTGTACTATTATCGAATTAGTAATTAACAATCCTAGCGTATCACCGAACTCCCCACCATTGTTGGTCTTAAAAATCCCTCCACCTTCGTTGCTACTTATTTCCTCCAAACCCATTGAAATTTGATGAAGGCTAATTAATTTCTTCTCCAAAAGAACACTCAACAAGTTGAGAGAAGCCACCACCACCACTTCGAGACTTCGAATTTGACCCGTGAGTTCCATGGACTGTAATCCAGCTTCAGTCAGCCTTTTGCAACCCAGATTTTTGGATTTTCCAATGGCTAGAGGTCATAATTTAGCTAATCCAATTGCCAGCGCACCATTCTGGAGGAAGTTTCGTGAAGGCAATCTCATCCGGGAGATGAGATGGCCTGGAGACCGCTTATGGGCCATTTTATTTAAAGGGAAGCATTGGGCCTGGTTTAAATTCATCTGTTGGCCTGAAACGGGTTAAGACCCACCTCCTCTTGGGTTGCCTCTAGCCCATCGATTTTGGATTAAATAGTTTTTGTCATCCTTCTCCGTCAACTGTTTAAGCCCCTTAGGTCGTAGCACCCGTTTCTCGGCCTTCATCTCCGGCTTCAACCCATTCTCAATTTGGCCCTCCATTAACGCTTCAGAATTTGCTTGCAACGGAGTTGTCAGGACCTCAAAAATCAGTATTTCCAGCCAAAGACAGTGCATCTCTGCCCTTCCCAATTCTTCTCTGTGACTCTAGTTGTCTGTAGACTCTACACTTATCCCAATATTCTCCAATTGCAGCAGAGTTTCAGAATTAATGGTTGGTTTCGACGAAGTGAATGCGACCTACTTTTCCTTTGTGTTCTGGCGTGTTCCCTTTGTGATTCTTCCATAACTGACTTCCTTTGATCCTTCCGTGTTCATGCTTGCCTCAGCGAGCTTGTTAGGAATTTTAGAAGCAAAGGTATGTCCAGTAAGTTCCCTCCCATGGACGGTTGAAAATTTGACTGTCATCCCCGCTTTCAATTCTCTCCAAGTTTGCACGGGTTGATGACGATCTATCCATTGAAACCACTCCCAGGCTTCATTGTCCAAGCATGCCACAACGGCTTCCACTTTTTCTCTTTCCGACAATTGATTCCTTGCAAAAATTTCATCAGCTTCCCTTAGCCACCAATCTGGATCACCATCATAGAATATTGATGAGGACATCGAACGACGTTTACTTATTTTATTTAAACTTTATTTATTTTCTTGGACTATTATTTAAATTTGGATTTGTATGGGCTTAGGCCCAAGCTCATTAGGGTTGGTTTACTATTTAAACCTATTTTGCATTGTAACTTTCAGTTGATGATGAATTAGAATTGAAATATTTTTGGTGGCTTGCAGCCGTTTTCTCCCTCCCCTCTCTTCCCCTGGTTTTTTTCTCCTCTTCTCCCTTCTCTCTGTTTCTCTTACCCGTTCCTTCTTCTTTCTTTCTTATTCATCCTACATCAAATTTGGTATCAGAGCCGAATCTTGGGTACTTTCTTTTACAATCCAAAATCTCTTCTTTTCTCTCAAAATCTGTTGGAACAGCACGAACTAAAAGAATATTTGGTACAGGCAGCAGTTTTTTTTTCTTCTTCTTCAATTTTCAGTCTTAGGGAAAAAAAAAAAAGAAATCACTGTTCACCGGGGGGGTACTGTTCACACCCGGAATTTCAGTTTTTTTTAATAGATTTTTCAGCAG